GGCCGAGTGGTTACGTTCGCGTGCTCAGTTTGAATTCTGGGTGCGGACATGGCACTGCTCTTCAAGCCACGCTGAGGCAGCATCCCACATGCCACAACTAGAAGGACCCACAACGAAGAATATACAACTATGTCCTGGGGGGCTTTGGGGAGAAAAAGGAAAAAATGAAAAAATCTTAAAAAAAAAAAAAAAAATAAAAACATACAACTATGTACCGGGGGTCTTTGGGGAGAAAAAGAAAAAATAAAGTCTCTAAAAAAACCCAGAAAACAAAAAACAGCTTTTTGTTTCATTGATTTTCTCTATTGTTTTCCTGTTTGCAATTTCATTGGTTTTTGCTTGGTAATTTTATTATTTCGTTCCTTTTGCTTGCTTTGGATTTAGTTTTTTCTTTTTTAAAGATTTTATTTTTCCTTTTTCTCCCCAAAGTCCCCCAGTACATAGTTGTGTATTTCTAGTTGTGGGTCCTTCTAGTTGTGGCATGTGGGATGCTGCCACCTCAGCATGGCCTGATGAGCAGTGCCATGTCCACGCTCAGGATCCGAACTCGTGAAACCCTGGGCCACCGAAGTGGAGCACACGAACTTAACCACTTGGCCACGGGGCTGGCCCCCTTTGGGTTTAGTTTTCATTCTTTTTTACTTTTTATGTTTTAGGTTTTTGGGGTGAGAGCTTAGATTATTGATTGAGGTCTTTCCTCTTTTCTAATGTATGCAGTTAGTGCTATAAGGTTTCTTCTCAGCACTGCTTTAGCTGTGTCTCACAAACTCCAACATATTATATTTTCATTTTCAGTCAGTTCAGAGTGTTTTCTAACTTCATTTTTGACCCATGGATTATTTAGAAGAATGTGGTTTAGTTTCCAAGTGTTGGAGATTATTGATTTTTAATTTGATTTTATTGTGATCAGAGAACATACTCTGTATGATTTAAATTCTTTTAAATTTCTTGAGGTTTATTTTGTGTCCCTGAATATGGTCTGTCTTGGTCTGTTTTCCATGAGCACTTGAGAAGAATGTGTATTCTTTGTCATTTGGTAGAGTGTTCTGTAAATACTGATTAGATCCTGTTGGTTGATGGTGGTGTTGAGTTCTTCTCCATCATTGCTGATTTTGTTTACTTCCACCACTTGTTGTTAGAGGGATTTGAAATCTCCACGTAGAATTGTGGGTTTGTCTGTCTGTCCTTTCAGTTCTATCAGTTGTGCTTCACATAGTTTGCAGCTTTTCTGCTTCATGCATATGCATTAGGATTGTTGTATCTTCTTGGTGGATTGGCCCTTTTATCATTATATAATGTCTTTCATATTATCATTATAGTATATCCCATATTTTTGCTTACTGTGTTCTTTCTTCTGTCCTGATGTTTCAGACTTCCTTCTTTTATTGTTTTCTTGTTGTTTAGAGAACTTGTTTTACCCATTCTTTTGGGATAGGTCTGCTGGTGACAAATTCTCTTAGTTTTTGATTTTTTTTAAAGATTTTATTTTTCCTTTTTCTCTCCAAAGCCCCCTGGTACATAGTTGTGTATTTTTAGTTGTGGGTCCTTCTGGTTGTGGTATGTGGGACGCTGCCTCAGCATGGCCTGATAAGCGGTGCCATGTCTGCACCCAGGATTCGAATCAGCGAAACCCTGGGTGACCAAAGCAGAGTGTGTGAGCTTAACCACTCAGCCATGGGGCCAGCCCCCAAATTCTGTTAGTTTTCCTTCATCTGAGAATACCTGATTTCCTCTTTATTCCTGAAAAATATTTTCACTGGACCTAGGATTCTGGGTTGACAGTTCTTTTCTTTCAGCACCTGAAACATACAGTGCCACTTCCTTCTGCCATCCCTGGTTTCTGCTCTCATTCTTTTCTTTTCTTTTATTTATTTATTTTTTTGAGGAAGATTAGCCCTGAGCTAACTACTGCCTGTCCTCGTCTTTTTGCTGAGGAAGACTGGCCCTGACCTAACATCTGTGCCCATCTTCTTCTACTTTATATGTGGGACACCTACCACAGCATGGCTTTTGCCAAGCGGTGCCATGTCCGCACCCAGGATCCGAACCAGTGAACCCCGGGCCGCCGAGAAGAGGAACATGCGAACTTAACCGCTGCGCCACTGGGCCAGCCCCTCTGCTGTCATTCTAATTGTTTTTTTCCTTTAGGTAAAATGATATTTTTATCTGGTTGCTCTTAAGATTTTTTTCTTTGCCTTTAGTTTTCAGAAGTTCATTTTGATGTGCCTTGGCATGAATTTATTTGGGTTTATTCTGTTTAATGTTCATTCAGCTTCTTGAATCTATATGTTTATGTTTTTCCAAATTTGTCAAGTTTTCAGCAGTTTTTTCTTTGAGTACCTTTTCAGTCCCTCCCTTTTTTCTCTTCTCCTTCTGCGACTCTGAGGACACAAATATTAGATTTTTTGTTACAGTCCAAGAGGTCCATGAAGTTCTGTTCAGTTCATTTCAGTCTGTTTTCTTCTGTTGTTCAGATTGGGTATTTCCATTGTTCTATATTCTGGTTCACTGGTTTTCTTTCTCTGCTCCATCTGTTTTGCTGTTGAACAAGCCATCCACTGGGCTTTTTATTTCAGTTGTATTTTTCAATTCTAAAATTTCCATTTGATTGTTTCTTATGTCTTCTAAGATATATAAGAGACTTACTGTACCTAACGATGAGAAGATTCTGTTAATATGTCAATCCCATGCTCAATCTTCTGTGGCTCTCTGGGTCACTGTGAGTTAGCTCAAGTGTATATAAGAGACTTACTGTACCTAACGATGAGAAGATTCTGTTAATATGTCAATCCCATGCTCAATCTTCTGTGGCTCTCTGGGTCACTGTGAGTTAGCTCAAGTGTATATAAGAGACTTACTGTACCTAACAATGAGAAGATTCTGTTAATATGTCAATCCCATGCTCAATCTTCTGTGGCTCTCTGGGTCACTGTGAGTTAGCTCAAGTGTATATAAGAGACTTACTGTACCTAACGATGAGAAGATTCTGTTAATATGTCAATCCCATGCTCAATCTTCTGTGGCTCTCTGGGTCACTGTGAGTTAGCTCAAGTGTATATAAGAGACTTACTGTACCTAACGATGAGAAGATTCTGTTAATATGTCAATCCCATGCTCAATCTTCTGTGGCTCTCTGGGTCACTGTGAGCTAGCTCAAGTGTATATAAGAGACTTACTGTACCTAACGATGAGAAGATTCTGTTAATATGTCAATCCCATGCTCAATCTTCTGTGGCTCTCTGGGTCACTGTGAGTTAGCTCAAGTGTATATAAGAGACTTACTGTACCTAACGATGAGAAGATTCTGTTAATATGTCAATCCCATGCTCAATCTTCTGTGGCTCTCTGGGTCACTGTGAGCTAGCTCAAGTGTATATAAGAGACTTACTGTACCTAACGATGAGAAGATTCTGTTAATATGTCAATCCCATGCTCAGTCTTCTGTGGCTCTCTGGGTCACTGTGAGTTAGCTCAAGTGTCCTCTAGGCACCTGGGCTTCCATGCTGTTTCTCGGACACAGCAGGTTCACATGTGCCTGGATCATTTGGGGAAGTTATATATAAAAAAGCCACTGATACTCTTGAAATTGTCTTTTTTTTTAAGATTTTACTTTTCCTTTTTCTCCCAAAGTCCCCCGGTACATAGTTGTGTATTTTTAGTTGTGGGTCCTTCTAGTTGTGGCATGTGGGACGCTGCCCCAGCATGGCTTGATGAGTGGTGCCATGTCCGCGCCCAGGATTCGAACCAACGAAACACTGGGCTGCCGCAGCGGAGCGCGCGAACTTAACCACTCGGCCACAGGGCTGGCCCCTGAAATTGTCTTAAATTTATTATTTTTAGAAAAATTGACATCTTTCCGATTGAGAACTTTTCCCAACCAGAATTATGACTCTCTTTTTATTCACCTCTTCTTTTATGTCCTTTGGAGGTGTTTTGGAGTTTTATTTATGCAAGCCTATTGCTTGATGCACATATATTTTATTGCTGTTTTGAATAGGATTCTTTTACATTATTTTTCAACTCATTATTCCTAGTATGTAAGAAAATTATTGGACTTATATATTTTCTAAGTGTTTCTCCTTGGAACTCTTAAACCTGAATTCTCTTTCCAGCTCTTTGGCTGATGCCCCTGTGTGTTCTGATTCCTCTTGGCTCTCTACTTGCTGTAGATTCTACATGGGACTGTCTTTCTCTCAGATCTTTTCTGAGATTACCCCTGTCTGCCCTCAGGCTCTTGTCTCTTAGGCCCTAGAGCCCTGAGGCTGGGATGGGAGCCTCTCCTTGGCTCTTCCCTAGTTCTGCATAGGACCTCTATCAAGGCACTTAGAGCTTTGAATGCAATTTCCTGTTCACCTTTCTTAACCAAGCTTCATGATCACTTAGGGCTTGGAATGGAGTTGGTGCTTAGTGGATAATTTTGTTTTTTAAAGATTTTATTTTTTTCCTTCTTCTCCCCAAAGCCCCCCGGTACATAGTTGTATATTCTTCGTTGTGGGTCCTTCTAGTTGTGGCATGTGGGACGCTGCCTCAGCGTGGTTTGATGAGCAGTGTCATGGCCGCGCCCAGGACTCGAACCAACGAAACACTGGGCCGCCTGCAGCGAAGCACGCGAACTTAACCACTCGGCCACAGGGCCAGCCCCTAGTGGATATTTTTTGATGGAATAAGTGAATGACTAAAGTATTTGTCTCCTCCTTTCTAGAGTTTCCAACTAGCTTTATTCGGAATGCTCTTGTATTTTGGAGATTTACTCAACTTACTTTTGAACTCTTCTGTTGATTTTTTTCTAGTCATTGTGTGTGTGTTTTGTGATATTTTTACCTAGCAGCTTCCACCAATATTGCATGTTCCAAATACTTACCGATGTGATGGTGAATTCTTTGATTGCTCTAATGCATAATGACCACTTCCACACTCACTTTGTAGTCTTCTGTAACCTCCTGAGTCTCTTGACTTTGATGTTGCTTTTGCTGACTTGATGATTCTCTCCTTCCTCTCAGATTCAGGCTTCCTCAGGGGATACCAAGTACACTGGTCCCTTGGACTGTGCAAAGAAGGTGTACCAGGAGTCTGGGATTCGAGGCATCTATAAGGGGACTGTGCTCACCCTCATGCGAGGTAATATTTGAGATCATCTCCACCTGAGGTCAGCTTGGTTGGGGGTGGTGCTCACCTGAGGTGGATCTGCTACAGAGGATCTTACCTGGATTGCCAGATTAGCCGTGGCACCATACGTGCACAGCTCTGACAAGGCGGGCAGTGTGTGTCCTGGTTTTAAGTAGTCTCACTTCTAGCTAGCATGCACACAAATGAGGGGAACCATCCATCCTTCTGGAAGGCTTGCATTCAGGGGTGGAAATCATGACAGTGGCACTTGGAGTAGAGTGGCAAGTAGATAGAAATCATCGCTGAAGGGATGAGTGGGAAGAAAGAGTGAGTTAGGAATAGTGGGGTTCTCCCTGGTTTTGAGAGGCATGTCGCACTGGGGTGGCAGTAGGAGAGGCAGAGACAGCCCCACTCTTGCCCTGAAATTACAGCTTGAAGGAAGGCCAGATGCTTGCCATGGTTCTGTTTGGAGTGGGCAAGTCAGTAGGGACCTCAGAGGGGGACTTTGAAGATGAATCATGTCATCTGCTCACTTACACCAATGCTGGACTCAGAGTAGCATCTGATTGCTGCAAAGTGATTATTGCAAATAGGAAGTGCTGCTGAGGAACTTCTTAGGAAACCTTCAAGGGTCCAGTGCCAAGCTTGGCTCTTCTAAGTTCAAGAAATCTGTGAATGGGGACAGCCTGGTAGCATAGTGGTTAAGTTCATGCACTCCACTTTGGTGGCCTGGGGTTCAAGGGTTCGGATCCTCCATGCAAACCTACATACTGCTCATAAAGCCATGCTGTGGTGGCATCTCACATACAAAATAGAGGAAGATTGGCACAGATGTTACCTCAGGGACGATCTTCCTCAAGCAAAAAGGGGAGGATTGGCAATGGATGTTAGCTCAGGGCCAATCTTCCTCATAAAAAAAAAACAAAAACAAAGAAATCTGTGAGGATTTTAGATGATTTAATTCACTTCTTTCTTGCCACTAACAGATGTTCCAGCCAGTGGGATGTATTTCATGACATATGAGTGGCTGAAAAATATCTTCACTCCAGAGGGAAAGAGGTGAGGAGAACAGAAGAATTTAGAAGCTACTTTGGGGGCCTGGCCCTATGGCTGAGTGGTTAAGTTTGCATGCTCCACTTCGGCAGCCTGGGGTTTCACCGGTTCTGATCCTGGGCACGGACATGGCACCCATGCTGAGGCAGTGTTGCATGTTGCACAACCAGAAGGACTTACAACTAGAATATACAACTTTGTACTTGGGGCCTTTGAGGAGAAGAAAAAGAAAAAAAAAGAAGATTAGCAACAGATGTTAGGTCAGGTGCCAATCTTTAAAAAAAAAGAAGCCACTTTGCCCTGTCATGGGTAGGTTGCCCTTTCCTGTGAGTGGGTCTGAAGGCAGAACTGGGACTTGCTTCTGTCTCCATGTCTGCTGTCCTTTCATTGCTGCTGAGGCTCAGCTAATACCTCTTACTCTGTGCCTCACCCAATGGACCAGGTATTTGAAATAAGCGCATGAAACTTCCTCCAAGGAGTGGCAGCTGCCATGTCTCAGGAGCCCTGGCCTTGGACCTGCTCCTCCCTCCAGCCAGTTTGTTTCTCTCTCTAACTTCCCTGTCTGCCATAAGAGGGATGGTCTGATCGCCACTCTCACAGCCTTTGTCTTACTAGAGCTGTGGTTGGTATTCGGCAGTGTCAATGAGCTTAGCGTGCCTCGGATCCTGGTGGCTGGGGGCATCGCAGGGATCTTCAACTGGGCTGTGGCAATCCCCCCAGATGTGCTCAAGTCTCGCTTCCAGACTGGTGAGTAGAGCATAGTGAGGTAGATGGGGGTGGAGTGGGTTCCAGAACTGGCTGCCCCTGGGGAGCAGAGCTCTTAAGGCCCTAGGGATACTCACTCTCCACTGCAGCACCCGAATCTCCCTGACCAACGTCTCCCTTGCAGTCCTTTCTATTCTAGGAACCCTAGATTCATTTTCGTGTTGCCCAAAAGAAAATAAGTGAGATAAGTCAAATCTGTTGTTGTTCCCCATCATGAGCAGAAGGATGGTTTCCTTCTTCATTCCTCTTCTCCACTCCCTCAGCACCAGTAATCCAGGCATTTGTGTCTGTTTGTCCCAAGGTGAACTGTGTTGTCTGTAGACTGGTCTCAGATGCCCTGCAAGGTGTCTTTTCCCTGGTGCTGTGACCCTGTAGGAAGACTTGACTACAAGACTTTCCCCGTGGGGCCGGCCCAGTGGTGCAGCAGTTAAGTGCGCACGTTCTGCTTCGGCAGCCTGGGGTTCGCCAGTTCAGATCCCGGGTGCGGACATGGCACCGCTTAGCATGCCATGCTGTGGTAGGGGTCCCACATATAAAGTAGAGGAAGATGGGCATGGATGTTAGCTCAGGGCCAGTCTTCCTCAGTGAAAAGAGGAGGATTGGTAGCAGTTAGCTCAGGGCTAATCTTTCTCAAAAAAAAAAAAAAAGACTGTCCCCATGTGGGTCACCATGGTCAGGTCAGGAAACTTCCTGAAGATTTAACCGTTGAGTTCTGCCCACAGCCCCTCCTGGGAAATATCCTAACGGTTTCAAAGATGTGCTGAGGGAGCTGATCCGGGACGAAGGAGTCACATCCTTGTACAAGGGTTTCAATGCAGTGATGATCCGAGCCTTCCCAGCCAACGCGGTGAGTGGCTGGCAGGGGCTGTGCTTTCCCTTTGGGGCTCAGAGCAGGGTGCAGGTGGGCTGACTTTTGCTTGCTCCTGGGATTGGATTGGGGATTCACTTTTCCCAAAACCCCACCCTCATCCAGAGCCTCCTTATTTGCTCCCCTTCCTCAAGCTGTCAGGAGGATTTGCCTTTGGGATTCTCTGAGTTGAAGGGCTTTGATTTCCTGACCTGGCCATCAGAAGTGGGCAGTAGTGGAACATGCAGTTTCTTCCCCTTTTGGGAATGAGAAAGCACAGCTTGATTCCCTGACCTGGGGTGGGAGTGAGGTTAGGGAGGGGTTCTGGTCCTGACAGGGCCTGCCAAGCATGGTGCTGGGGTCTCTGTGAATTATCACAACTCCTGCTGGCTTTTCTCTTCCTTTCAATCCCTTCTCAGGCCTGTTTCCTTGGCTTTGAAGTTGCCATGAAGTTCCTTAATTGGGCCACCCCTAACTTGTGAGGCTGAAGGCTGCTCAAGGTTTCTGAATGCTGGAAGCTGTCACCGAGGAGGAGCACTGGGCAGAACTAGGCCATCCTGAAGGGGGAAGGGAGGGGGATTGTGGGATCAGAGCTCTGTGTGTGGACTTGTTGAGACCGTTGCCTTAATGACGTCTTCTACCTGGTAGAGCTTGGTGTGCAATTTTGAAACTTGAATTCAGTCTTGTCAATTTAAGGGATCTCAAGAGGATTTGGAGATGGAGTAAGTAGCTTCTAGACCAGGTACAATCTGTGGCCAGAGTGCTGTCTACTGATTGACTACTGGACCTACTACACGCAAAGTACTCCTCATCGAAGAAGGACTCTCAGCCTCTCACTGGAGGCGCTATGCATGTTTTCAGCCAGCTGACCGGGAGCTGGGGTCTTCTTCAATCCCTACCCAGGAAGACCCACCAGATTTCCAGGGTACTATCTAATCTGGGCCTGCACATGGGGACGTGGACTTGAGGCCCACATCTGTCTATCCAAGTGGACTAAGCAAATGTGCCTCGGGCAGATACCCTGTTATAGTCGGGTTGATTTTTCTTTATGCATGCAAGTAATCAAAATTGAAGCTAGAGTAGCTTAATTTCACAGGAGTAGATGGAGAACTTTCCCTCCTACGTAGCGAGGAGAGTTTTGAATCGACTGTGCCAGCCTGTTGGGATAAGTCAGAAAGCCCAGGGTGTAGGAAGGCTCTTTTTGCACACTCTTTATTCTCATGAGAGTCCCCTATTTTGATAGGAAACAATAAATATTGTCTCTCATTTTTGCATTGTGTGAAATTTTTGTCTTTTGATTCTGAGTTATTTCAGCAGGCAGCCTGTGGACTTGGTGGAGGCTGTCAGCACTGCAGTATCTTTCCCTTGTTGCTTCAGGCAGGGGCTCCAGCAGGAGAAAGAGGAGGAAGTTTTGGTCAATGCAGCCCTTCCCTCACTGCCCCAGCTGCTTGAAGGAGGATGGGGTGGGCCGGGGTGACTCGATTGATAACTGTTCCTGCAGCCCTCAGTGCAAGCCTGGCATGTAGGCCTCCCCAAGGCCCAGCCTGCAGCCCGTCCCTTCGTTCTTTCACCTCTGCCCTCAGCCACATGGGTGTCTGAGCTAACAGATGGACAGTTAATTGTTCTAAAAGGCCAAAAGCAATCCTGAGTTTTCATATGGGCTTTGGGGTCACTGTGTGATCTGATGTCACCAGCCTAGCTTTACTAATCAGGCTGAAGATGATGCCCAGGTGCAGCCAGAGGAAGTGAGAGAGTTGGAGTGGAGAGTCACAAGCTAGTTTGTCCTTGTCTGGTGGAGGGCGAGGCTACCAAAGCTGGGCTTCTCTGGCATTGTCCCATCTGGCAGTCGCAGTACAGTCCCCCTGGCACTTCCTGCCTCTCTGCAGCTGCACAGAGACCCTTGGACTTTGGCTTGAGAACCATCATCCTGTGTAAATGGGTGAGAGGGGGAGGGACCCATCTGGGAGTGGGTGTGGCCAACCTGCCAGGAAGCTGAAGATTTAGGGGTTTGAGGAAGGAGGCTTTATTTATGGGAAGATATTTCTGGATGACCAGATAAGAATTATGGCCACGTAAAAAAAATAACATTTTTTAGAGATGAGAATTGTGTGCTCTCTTAATTCAGTGTTACGCCTGCTCCCCTCTCATGCTGCGGGATATCTTTGTTAAGTCTCTCACTGATTTGGAGAAGGCCACATGTGTGTCTCTTGAAGCTCGTCTCGGCACACCCAGTCCTTGAGACAGTACTAAAACCTGGCCTTTACCTGGAGGTCCATTTGTATTCCAGCCAATTTCTAGCCATTCCCATGGCTCAGGATCACTTTTACAGTCTGTGCTTCTGGTTATCTCTCCTTTGAAACAGCTTCCATTTTAAAATGGAATGTTTTAGTTCCCTGACGTTATTGATGGTAGATTCTTTTACTCCTTTGGGTGTTCAATAGATGTTAAGTCAAATAGGGAAGCCCCTGGAGGCGTATTTGTGTAGGGAGCAGAACAGATGGTGAGTAACTCCCTCCTGGCTGGCACGTCCTTTTTATGATGCACTTTGAAATACCACCTGTTCCTGATATATCTCTTCTCTCCCTGATGGGTGTAAGGGTGGAGGAGAGATTGGGGTCCTCCCCAGCAATTTCTCTGTCACAGACAGCTTTAAGTAGAAGCCAGACAGTGTGTTAAAACAACCAGTTGGTGATAACAGCCTCACCCAGGCACAGAGTATAACTGGGTCAAAGGTGAAGGACAGAAGGCAGGTTGTTGCAACAGCAGCGTATTAGAAGAAATAGTACTCCTAGTTCTGCTGTAAGGTCATACCATCTCAACCCACAGTTCTTTCTTCACAGTTCTTTTGAGGCTGGAACCCCCTATGCCCTTTCTAACCTTTTCATGGGTTCATTCTCATCTCTTTATCACCATGTAACTCAGTGTTTAATGGGTGGGGATTTTACCCTCACTTTCAGATGTAGAAACCAAGGCTCAGACAGGGCAAACTGATCTACCAAAATCATTGGCAAGTTGGTAATAGAGTGGTGTCTGAAAGAAAGGCTTGTGATGCTGTCAGAGGCTGTCCTGGGGCTGCTTGACTCAAGCTCCAAGAAGCCTGTCTGTACCACAGGATTGAAGCCCAGGAAACTGGCCTGTGAGTTAGGCCAGGAGTGGCATACACAGTCCCAACAGGCCCTGGGAAGGCCCCAGGGCCAGGTGCTCCCTGAGGGCTCCCTTTTCTGCTTTCTCTGGTAGGCATGCAGGCCTGTGGCTCTCCAGCCAGGCTCTCCCTTGCTTCCCAGGCTCTATCCTTGCGCTAAAGTATCTCAGAGGCAGACCCTGAGTCTACTGCAGAGACTGACACGTTCTCGGGACACAATGTCCTGGGGAAAGGGGTAGCTTTCAGGTGCAGAAACAGGTGGCCTGGGAATTAACTCCCTGGAGTATGGATGCTTGTTAAAATAGACCAGACTCCTTGGACCAAAAGCAGTAGCCTCATGGGGGAGGCATTCTGGAAGCTGAAGAATAGCTTGAGTGAGGGCAGAGAAATCATAGCCCACTTCTCCAATCCCTCCTGCCCACTAGAGGCTCAAGAATACTTCTCAGGCACAACAGCAACTGATGGTGGTAGATACTAAATGAGTTGGGGGGACTGGACCATGAGGCCTGGCATACAGAGGTGGTTAGGTGACCAACAGGTCTCAGGAGATAAGTGGGGGACTGGAGTGGCTTAGAGAAACAGTCTCTTTGGGCAGAGGAGAGAGAGGTGTTCCTACTGGGGCTGAGTCCCTCCAGTAGGCAGAGGGCATCAGAGGGCAGAAGGTGTGTAAAACTGAGGGGTCTGGGCCAAGAGCTGGCCTCCAGAGGAGTGTGGGGAAGTTGGGCATCTCCTTTCTTCAAGGAAAGAGAGGAAAAAACCTTTTAAATAATAAACCTGTTAAGAGTACATGAAATCCACTGTTTCATTGGAAACAGTAGTTGGTACCCTACCCATGTTCATTTTCATCAGATCCACTGCTGTTTGGCTAAACATGTGCCCCATGTGTGTTACCCTGCATCCATAGTTGTAAACATCTCTGAGAATTGGCCCCATTGTGTCCATGTCTGCCTGTGGTTGGTGATGCGGCAGTCTGTGCAAGATGTTAACTGCCTGCTGGGTAGTCAGTAGGACTGGGTTGGAGTTGAGCGCCCATGAGTGCTCTGGGACCTCTTCTTCTCTATCACAGCCTCTATATTTCTCTTGCTTTTGAGGGTCTCTGCTCTTAGCCTTTTCCATCCACCATCACTTGCTATTGGCAGCTGTTTCCTAGGTACTGGCTCCCTGTGGTTTTGGTTGCCACAGGAATCTTCAGCTGTGCAGCTGGATAGACTTGAGTGAAGGCAGTCCTAGGAGGGTAATGGTAGAAGTTGCAGGACTCCAACCCCTGGTATTCTCTGTTGCTCTGGGCCCTCTTCTTTGGCCAGCTCAACTTGGCATTCATGAAGGCCTTTGGGACTCCACCTGCTACTGAAGGGTTTCCCAGAAGGGATAAAGATGGATCTTTGCTCTGGGGACCAGGTACTAAGGGAGGGTAGCCAAGTTTGACCTGGGGCTGGCTGTCCATCCTTACTCTGTGGCTGGTCTGTGGATACAGGTGAGGAACAGCTATGGGGTTCCTGCTTTCTGTGGCCCTCATTCCCTCCAGGTCCAAAGACGCCTTTGAATGCCATGGTTGTTGGATGGATGGATGGCTAAGCTATGGGGCATCTGAGAACAAGCCAGGCAGACCAGCCTGCTTCTGGCAGAGGCTGATGGGGGTTCCTTGGAGCAACTAGGAGAACCCACCCGCACCCAGCTCTGTCATCAGCCCTGGAGTAGCCTCCCTCTACCCTATGTTGTAATTGAGGTTGGAGTCCTAACTGTACAGGTTGCCTGTTCTTTAAAACATATAAAACCTGACAGATGGGCAAACTCGGGAGTGGAGTTTTGAATTCGCCTTTCCAAAGGGTTGGTTGTTGGATTGTTTGAAGAAGGGCAGATCCCCAGTTGTGGTGGTGCAGTGGGAATCACACCCAGGATTCCTGGGTATAGGCTGAGTCCTGGAAAACTTGGAAGGGTCAGTATACTCAAAAGCAGAGAAGACAGGCTGGCCCGGTGCTGCAGCGGTTAAGTTTGCACGGTCCGCTTCTTGGGGCCTGGCGTTCGCCGGTTCAGATCCGGGGTGCAGACATGGCATTGCTTGGCAAAAGCCATGTAGGCGTCCCACATATAAAGTAGAGGAAGATGGGCATGGATGTTAGCTCAGGGCCAGTCTTCCTCAGCAAAAAGAGGAGGATTGGCAGTAGTTAGCTCAGGGCTAATCTTCCTCAAAAAAAAAAAAAAAAAACCAAACAAACAAAAACAGAGAAGAGTTGAGGAACCCTGCCCCTCTAGCCCTTCACTGTCTGTCCTTAGTGAAGTCTTCATATTCTGAGATCAGAAGCACAGCTTTGAAGCAACAGATCCTAGTTCTGCAACTGTGAGGTTAGGAGACCAATTTCATTGGTTCTGCTTGCTGTGTGGAAATTTAACATTCATTCATTCAGTAAACCTTCTCTAAGAGTGTGCAATAAGGATCCAGCAGGGAACAAGTTGGACACTACTCCACCCCTCACAAAGTTGATGATCCAAGGTTCCTCCCAGGGGTCAAGGAACTTGTCCAGGGAGACACTGCTGTTTGGAATCACAGGCCTGTCTGGCCTAGAGCCTAGGTGGCTTCAGCACCAGCAGGGATCCAGGTGCTTTTGCTTTTGTGAGCTGAGTTCCCAGCAGCACTGAACTCCTGGGTGTGTGCCAAGCCAGTATGAGAGGGCCTAGTGAGGATTTTAATTAATACTGAGTAATTACCAGATGGAGCTTAACTATCCCAAATGCCTTTCAGGTTCCCAAGCCTACAGCTAGTCACTTTCTGACTGGGCCTGGCAAGGTGAGGGAGGACTCTGCCTATACCCACTGGGCCTTTAGTCAGCACCTAGGCTGTGACATGCACATCCCAGGAAGTTCTCTACCTTTTTCCATTCCCTTCCAATCTGGTGTGGGTGAGGGGGGCAACCTGGGAAATAGCCTGGCCTTTCCAGTTTGCCTGTGCTCCCTCCCCAGGGGCAAAAGAATAGTGTCTTGTGGTCTGCTCAACACCATCACGCAGTGCTGGCCCTGGGCCCAGGGTGAATGTGGGGAGAAAAGAGGTGTGCAGACCTGGTCTTGGGAATCTTGGTGGGAATGCTTAAGAGGAGGCATAGGTACACAGGTCCTTCCTGTTCTGGACCTTA